CACACATACACACAGACATACAGACATACATACATACATACATACATACATACATACATTCAAACATGCATGCATACATACATACATACATAAATACATATATTACACAAACATACACACATGCATGCATGCATGTATGTATGCATACATACATACACATACATACATAAATACATACGAATGTACATACATACATACATACATACATACATACATACATACATACATGTATGTGTGTATATATATATGCATACCACACACACGTATATATATATATACATACACACATACGGGCCTCTTTCCTGCGCTTAGCCGCTTAGCCATCACCGAGGCATCAAGACTTGGCACCCGCAACTCTGTCCTGTGACTTTCAGTAGCTCCTTTCAGGGAGCAGGATGGCGAGATGGCATCTTGGGCTGCCGAAATCTACCAGCTCCCCTCGTCCTCGACCAACTCGGTAATCTTCTTGCAAAAACTCATTTGCAAAAACTCAAACTCCAAGTGCGGATGCAGTCATCTCACTGATGAGCTTTGGCATTTATGCGACTTTTCTGGGACCACTAACAGGGCCCTATCAGATAGCAACACCACTGCTCCTATGATGATGACTGCTATGCTTCGTCTTGGTTTTAGGGATCCAGGAGGGACAGCCGCCTGTCTACGACAAAACGCTGCGGTCCCTGCTGTGTGTCCTATTCTGATCCTTCCTCTTTCCCGGATTCGGAACCCCTGATTGGAAAAAACGGTTGGGTTGTATTGGCCTTCGCATTTATTCTGGCCTATCCGAGCTCCGTCGGTGAAGGTTCGCATGAGTTCCGGTTGCTTCAATCCTTCGTTGCCGAAGCGGGCGGCGTGCTAGAATGTGACTCTTACTAGCATTGCTGCATTCAGTTTGCCTTTGGAGAATTGAGTTGAATCGCGTTGCGTCTTCTCGCGCGCATCTCATGTAGGCTGACAGATCCGCATTGGGTTTCCCTGAAAGCAGATCAGGAAAATGGAAGATGACCTGCCACGCTCTAAGGGCCTTGTGACCCCAGAGCTCTAGCCTAAGCTCCTTCGCCCGGCACACCCTTCACGACAATGCCTCTTACTCTCACCACAGCTTCTTTCACTTCTGATTCTGATTCACGTGGCATTCTCCTACGCAGAGTTTTCATGCAGCTAGCAGCATGGATATTGAGTTACTGAGACTTACTACGACTCACCCTATCTGCTTGCTACTTTTCACCAAGGTGTGCCTGGTGAATCGGAGCGCTGCTGTTCCCTGAGAAGTCGCGGATGCCTCATCATGGGCAAATCTCGCCTCGGCTCTTTGCGCTGCAAACAATTAGGGTTTAGGGTTTAGGGTTTAGGGCAGCTCAGGCTTGGCGGCTATCTCAGAGCTAAACACGGCGTGCCTACCACACTTGTGGCTTACTTGGATTCCAAGCCAAAGAAACCCCGAGACCTTATAAATAATAATAAGAATAATAATAGCAATAATAATAATAATGATAATAATAATAATATATATTATTAAATAATTACAAGTTGAGCCCAGTGGCTTCCCGTGCTTCCGCGCGGGATGATGAGTGGACCGCGCTGCTGCTTGATGCGTGGGGCCATGTTCACGGCCGAGTTCCTTGGCAGAGGAGTTCAGGGCTCAGGGTTTCAGACCAGCACCACGGATAGTAGCAGGAAAGCGTCGGAAACCGAAAAACAAAAAGCTCAATTGCGTTGCAGTTCAAGCCCACTTGCCGGCGAGAAGCTCGTAGTGGCGCATGTTGGCTTCGAGACCCTGCCAGAAGACCGTGTTGAGCTCGGGGCTTTACTGCTGGGGGGGCTGACGAGGGCAGAACAGTAAGGCTTCGAGGTGCAACAGCAGGGGTGGACACGATGGCAAAACTCGCTATTGCTGCGACAAGAGCGCATCCCCATACGATCGCCCTACAAAGCAAGACTTCACAGCAGCTAACGGTTTCCAAGAGCGAAAAGATGTTGAGAGCTGGCAGTGACCGTTGACTCGTGATCGAAAACGGGACGTACATCTCCAACGCTTAAAAATCAGAGCGCCCCATGAAGAGCACGAATAGAGACAGCACCGGAGACAATGTTCTACCCCGGAAGACAACCTGCATCAGCATAATCTGGAAAAGCATCCTGTATTGCTGTATGGCTGGCTAGCACACATCAATCTGCAACATTCGGTTCGGCCCTGGTCTCCAAAACAGGCCGACGTCTGAAAAACAAAATCCCGCTCCTGGATGTGGGCGATGGACACAGCTGCGATCTTGCCACGCACCTTCCATGCCACAACGTGCGTCCAAGCGCCGGTGACGGCAGCAATGGTGCTGCTCTTGATATAGTCTCCGTGAGTGCAGCCCTTCCATGCAACCTAACCCTTCGCATTGCAACTTGAAGCCGTATTGGCTCCGCCGTATTTCACCCCTTGCAGCATTGTCTAGGTCGATCGTTCTTGCCGTCTTCCCTGGAAGCTAACTAGGCACAGTTCGGTGCATCTTGACCTAGCTTGCTTTGACCGCAGCATGCAAGCTTCTGCAGCGGCACTTTACTCAAAATCGTGTTCTTGCAGCACTCCTAGCGCCTTCCTTCAGCACCCTGACACCAAAACGAAAATCCCAGCCTTGCGGTAGCGCTGGAAGATGTAGTTGTGGAAGACCTCTTGAAAAAGATTTCGCAATGTGAACACCATTGAAAATGTCAGGCTTCTCTCTCTTTCAGGGCTGCAGGGTCCAGGCTGCAGACGCAGACACGCTAGGCTTCGGGGATGCGGCTTAACGTCTACGCTGAAGGCGTGACGGTCATCATCGTCGCCACCACTAGCTCACTAGCCATCACCAGAATCATCATGGCCATTGCCATCCAAATCGTCCTCGCCACCCAGATCCCCCGCTGCATAATCGTCCTCAACGTTGTCATCATCACCAGCAGCAAAATAACCAACACCCACCAGGGCCCAGGGAGGGACAAGGAGACCGACAAGCCCAGATTCCTCCTCAACCGTAGCCCGCCGCGTAGCCCGCAGCCCCAACCCAAGGCGGAGAAAAACTGCCCTGCCTCCATACAGCGCTGGGCGGAGATCGGCTCCAAGAAGTTCACAAAAGCATAGCCAACCTGGGTTATTAGGGTTTACAGTGTGCTTGGGGAGGGTTGGGCTTCAATGCCAAAATGGGATTGGGGTGTCCGGTTTCAGGGGCGTCACTTCGAAGCTCATGGGGACTCCTTCCATGTCGAACTCTACCCAGTACAAGGCTTAGCTGTAACAACCACGAGCATGAATGAGTTGGGACAACTGGTACAAGTAGCTACTTTGAAGCTGTAGCTACCACGGAGAAGAGCAGCTCACCCTATCCCTTTGCGTCTTCCAAGAATGCTATATCACAATTGATCACAACTAAGTAACACTCGGAGAAGGCCGGGTGCTTTAGGTTCTTCCAACTCTTGGGTTTAGGTTTAGGGTTTAGGGTCGGGGGGAGGGCTCAGGACTTCGTCTTGCGACGAGCGCTCAGGCCAATCAACACTCAACAACTTCTTTGGCGGGACAGATGTCGCCAAGCTGCATTGCACAGGGTGCCCTTGTCAATGGGCAGGTACCTTACAGACAGGAAGACGAATTCCATCATGAACCCTGAAATCCTGGAAAGCCCTACAGCCCAAATATTACATCTGAAGCCAACCAAGCTTTACTTTACCCTTCGGTGGCATGATCTGAGGGGGCCCGCAGCTCACGTTTTACAACTTGGGCCAGTGCTTGTGTGCCATGAGGCTCCAAGAAGCTTTCATAGCTGCTGCTATGATATTGCCATGCCTTGTCTACTCCTGAGAATGATGTTCCTCTTATTAAAATGGTCTTATACCATATTGGCCAACTGTTACTTCACTGCTGCCCTCAATCTCTGCCGAAGTGCAGGAAGTCGTATGTTCCCGCAAAGCCAAGCCCATCCAACTCGCGCACGAACTCCCGTTGTGTGTAGCGGTTGGGGATGTTACCTGAGCTCAAGCGGCGCTAACATCGCAGCGAGGTCCCATGGTCTGGCCTGGGAGCTGCTGGCACTTCCAGAAAGTTCTTCTGCGACTGGTTTGCCCGCCAGCGCCGTGTCTGATCCGTCAGCATGCCAAGTCACGAATCATCATGGTTGTTGGAGGGGCTCGAAGTGGCGTTTTGGAGAATTCTGCAGCCTGCAAAGTCACACGCTGTCCCAACCACCTTGCAACCTAGTCATACACCTCGCTAGAAGCACCCTCTCCATTCTGCTTTCTCTGACGGTCCGTGAGATATCAACTAGGAGAGGCCGCTACAAGAGGTTTTTAAGTTCAGATCGGCGCCGGTGATCGACACAGCGATACGGACGTCAACTGCACTCGTTCCGACCAAAATCCTTCCGCCAAGAGGCCAGATTCACGGTTTTGGGAACCTGGTTGTGGGTGAACTCGGCCTGCCACGGGCAAAACTTCCGGCCAGCTTTGGTCTCTGCTTTGGCCTTGCAAACCCGAGACCTTTACGTCTTCAGCCCCCTACACCCAGGAGGAAGTCGACTTCTGAGCCAATTTTACGACTTTTCTGAGCCAATTCCAGGCCTTGCTGCCATCCTTGGCAGCAGCCACCCGCGGATTGTCACGCTCCTCCTCCTAGCAGTCTGGGGGAAGCACCCGTTACGTGGCTTTGAGGCTGCAGGAAGGGCTCTGTGCAGTCGTCGTCGTCATCGCCGCATCGTCGTCGTCGTCGTCGTCGCGAAAGCAGCACCCGTAGCAGAGCAGCAATCTCTCTCGTACTCGGAAGCATCCGAAGCTCCTCGATGATGGGGCCGATCTCGATCGTTGCCATGCCTCTTGCTCAAGGACTGGAACCAGGTGAAAAGTCTATGCCAATATTTCCTGTTCCAGCCTCCGTCGTCTTGGCAGTCTGCCCAGAGCTCCGAGCACATTGAGCTCACCGAGCCACTCGAGAAGTCCTTACGCATCGGGTTCACCTCCCAGAAGCCATGAGGTTTTGGGGAGCCCGAAAGCGCTTTTCATTTAGGATCTTTTAAGATGACTCTCAGGTTGACCAGGCGCCGAGCAGGGCACCAAGGCAGAGCTTCAGGCTTCATGAGCATGTCGGCCCTTTGCTTCATTGACTTCGGGTTGTCTTCTGCTCTTTCTGAGGGTTGCAGGCCCCCTGCGAAATACGACAGGTCAGCGACAGCTGTCAAGAACCCTTAATTGCATGCAGGGCTGGGATCCGCAGCGACAGAACACGGAACGCCGAAAAGTGCAAGCTCAGGCCTTGGTGGAGATTGAGTAGTCCTGTGGCATCGAGAGGAAGCTCTGACAGCTTGTGGCTTCTCAATCCTCTGACAGCCCAAATCCAGATCGAAAACAAGATGCTAGGTAACATCAGAAGATTGTGTGTCTGTGCATCCGACGTTATGCTTCTCCCCCCCCCCCCCC